GAATTAGAGATTTAGGAGAAAGAACACATTTTCAATTCTTAAGCTTTTTAAGAGATTTTTTGCTCAAACCTCACTCTTTTTCGAAGCTGATTTCAATTCTACCATCAATTCTCTCTTTCCAGCAAGGTATGAACCTCAAACTCACCATTCTTACTCGATTTTGAACTTAGGGTTTTCTTTAAAAACCCAAAATCTTGGTCTATTGATGGTAGAAATAGCTTATGAATGATAGATTATCCATTTAGGTTATCTAAAAATAGATTTTAGCACCTAGCTTAAGAGGAATTGTGATTTTTGAAATTTGGATTCTACATGCTTCATAAAAATCGAATTTGGAACAGCAAAATTGATGAATTTGATTTAGTCTTGTGTGATTAATGATTAGTATTGGGTAATCTTTAGAATTCACATGGAAATTGCTCATAAAAACCGATTTTTAGAAGATTTCTATGTTGAGAACATCAAAAATCCGAATTTAGTCATGAACTACTTGATTTCTCTGATTTAATATCAATTTTGTTTGCTAATAATTTTAATTAATCTTTTTATACTAGTATTAGTATAACAGATCTTAATGTGTTAAAATTAGCACCCAAATTCACTCTTTTTCCAAGAATCATTTCATTTTCCAGAAAATGGATGAAACCAGATCCCGAAGGAGCCGTCGAACTGGTGGCAGCTATGTGATGAGATTGCTCCAGCACTCAAGAGAAACACGAGCACCTCCCGAGCCACCACAGATTCGATACATTGGGAGGGAGACAAACCCGAGAGTGGACTATGCAAGGCGTTTCAAGAAGCTGAACATCAAACCCACGCCTTGCATTGATTATCATACACTCGAGATGCTTGGAATCAGGGAGGATGTGATCTGGTACATCGATGCACTTAAGCTGAGACCCTACTTGGAGCTGAACCTTCCGACTTATCCTGAGCTAGTCCGTGAGCTTTTAGCGACCGTTACACTCCACTAACGAAGAGGAGGAACCCCAGAGCATCAGATGGCATCTTGTCATTCTCTATCCGCGGACAGCCTTATTCTCTCACCATTTCCGAGGTTTGTGAAGCTCTTAAGCTTCCATACACTGATGGAATTTATCATGAAGATGAACCTGATCTTAACCTGTGGAGAGAGATGGGTCATGGAGCCTATGATAGTGGGAGATCTAAGTCAGCCCTTCTTAGCCACCCAGCAGTGAGAGTTGTGCACAAACTCTTAGCACACACGATCTTCTCTAGAGCCAACATGGGAGGTGTTTTGAAGACTGAGCTCATTACACTTCAGATACCATTTATGGACGACCCACGACTTGCTTGCTTTGCCTGGATAATAGCGCAGAATATGGTAAAGGTGAAGCATGATTTACATGGTTGCGAGGACGCTACTCCAGCTTTCGGGAGTGCTATTACAGCGATACTACAAGCGTGTAGGATTCGATTTCTCATCTGATGATCCACTTCCCGATGTCTGGTATGATCTACTTTATATCTCTCGCGATCACACTATCTCTCGTGCCGCTTTCGATCCAGACAGGTTTGGTTACAAGTATTGCACTGGCACCGAGGAGCACCGAGTCCGCTTACCTTCAGCGTCTATCCCGAGATTGTGCAACGGAGGACGCCCTCGATGGACTCCGGAATCCGATGATTTTCTGCCATCTGTACCTCATCTACCATTCACCATTAGCCAGTACATAGTGGCCAAGGCGAGGCGTGATGCAGCTGCGGCCCGTGCTCATTTTCAGCCATCTATTCCGACCGGCCACACCTCATCATCTACATCATCACACACTCATTCCGATCTGGAGCGCAGAGTTGAGAGACAGGGACGACGCTTTGAGCGCGTTGTCACCTTCTTACAGGAGCAGCACCAGTTCGCAGACGACACTTCGGAGGATGAGTGATTGATCAGCACTTCACTACCATCACGGTTCTATCATCATTTTCTTTTCTTTTATCTTATTTTATTTTATTTTGATTTTATTCACCATCTTCTCACCAACTTTTTCACACTGGGGACAGTGTGATTTAAGTCTGGGGGAGGATGTCTATCCGTACTAATTATTTTCCTGCTTTTGCTTTTAAATTTCAAGTACTTTTTAAATTTTAATATGTAACCTATTCGACATTAAGTATTTTTCAGGAATGTTTGACGCAAAACTATGATGATTTAGACCTGCACACTTCTACACTATGCATGATAGCTCATTTGTGGTTAGCACTAGACTAGGCGGTAGCTAGAGTATTTGCACTACGAACTCCCACCAGAGGACTTCTATTCATGGAGATTCTTTCTGACAGGATATAATAGCTCATTTTATTTGGACTTAATATTGATATCTAATTTTCTCATCATTGATTTTAGGCAGGCATCGACATACACATCTAGGACGTCTTTTACCATCACTTTTACCACTCTTTGTCTTCCTAGATGACCAGTTTATCTTTATCTGGTACCATACCCTAAACCCAAAACCTTTGTTTTCAATCCTCATGCATTCTCTCTTTAGTTTATAGCAGCAGATATGTGCAAAAACGTTGGAGAGAAGAGGAGCGACGCAGTTTTCAGTCACTCGCAAAGGAGACTGAATGGAATTGGGAAGGAAGAGTATCAGAAACATAATAAAGCTTTACAAGACAGATATTAACTGGTAAATTCGTGCTCTCTAAGACTCTATATCTAAAGGTGTTCCCTTTCTTTAAAAAACAAAAAAAAAAAAACGTGAAAAGAGAAAGGGAAACAAAAAGCCTAATGAGTCTTAGATTGTCGAAATTTGTGGAGCAATGAGCAACCACTATTCGTTTAGGGAGCTATTGTTTTGAAAGATTTACAAAAATCTAAGTCTGGGGGAGTTTGGAGAGAACTTGAGGAAGAAGACCATGAATCTATGTCAAGAAGAAAGTGACTGAAAACTGTGGATACCAACAGCTTCACTCTCTCTTGCGGTTTTGCATAATGTCCTGCATCCTCCAGATCTTCAGGTAACCCTTAAACACTTTAAGCCATACCCCCAAAATAATCCTTCTTTACACTTAGCTTAGATTGCCTTGCCTAGATTTTCTTTGATGAGAACCACCGAGATTTTTAATGAATGTTAAGAGCTAGTTGACTGGAAGTTAGATCTTAGTGCATAGATTTCTGCATGACGGATTAACGGACTAGTTATGCCTGTATTGCTAGTGAGAATTTTCTAGGCTACCCCCGATTGATGCATACTGATTAATATTGGTCTAGAAGTTTGGTCTCTGAGATTTTGTTTAGTTCCTGCGTTTTCAAACCTCTCGCCGAGATTTAGCCTTTGTTTTGTTTGAGGACAAACAAAAGACTAAGTCTGGGGGAGTTGATAACACCGGATTTTGACCATTTTTATGGATCATTTTAATATATTTTACATGTGTTTTTACTCCATTTTCAAAGGTTTTCAAAGGATTTCTATGTTTCCGGATTTTAAAAGACTTTTCAGGTAATTTGGGATAAAGAGGCACAAAATGGAACAAAAAGACTCTTTTGGATAAATACAGACCGTCAGAACTCTCATGGAGAGACGAAGACCTTCTCACCGTCTGATCACCCTCAAAATTGGACAACTTATAGAAGAATCAACCAGCTTTCAAATGCACTTGGTTTGGAGACATTCCAACGGTTGGATCTCAAGATATTCCATTAGCCCCGGAGCCACGCGGAGTCGGCCAGCAACTCACGCGACCGCGGCCAACAAGCTATTTGCCGCGGTTAGAAGCTTCCCGACCGCCGCCAACAAGCCAATTGCCGCGGTCACAACACTCCCGACCGCGGCATTCAAGCTCCGACTTAAAGCCCACTTATCTGAAGCCCAAAGTCATTCCCAGCCTCAATTCCGGAACCCTAGAGACCATGGAGTATTGGAGACTATAAATACATGTCATTTAGGTCGGTTTTAGAGACAGCCATTCATACTTTACAGAAACCCTTTTCCTTTAGCCGTTTTTATGAGATTTTTGTAGAAGATTGTTCAAGTCCGAGTTCTTCAATAGAGAAGCTTTCTTTATCTCTTTTTTCTTTACAGTTTTTCATTACTTTTATTAAAACCAATGATGATGTCGAACTCAGCCATGTCTGAGTAGATCCCGAGTTGGGCTAAGGGTTCCCGAAAGGGGCTCTCATAATCGATTAAGACATCTAGGTTTATAGATCTGGGATTTCGACCTGTTCTCTGTTTATTCTTGTTCTTATTGCATGTATGCTTCATTGATCACCTAGTATTTGATCTAGATAGTTAGTGTTGCGAAAGTTTTCATTAAGTATCAGCCCTAGAATGAAACAGGCGATTTTTCCGTAGGAGTGGAAACCTACCTGCGGCGAGATCGTGAGTATTGACGAGTCTTGTGCAGCTCTTGCGTTCTCTCCCTTCCACGGCCAGAGTGGAAACCTACTGGTCAGGGTTGCGAGAAACAGTTGGTTATGATCACGACAGTGATGTAGTCATACCGCCGTACTCTAGCTCTAGAACCCATATATTGTTGTCCGTCAATCCCAATCTATCTACCTTAGTGATAAAACCGATTATGATCCCTTAGAGTTCCCAAAAGCTCAGCGTTTTTAGCCATAGTTTACAATTCCATCGATTTTTACTTGCTTTTTTTAGACCTGCATTTCAATTTCCTTAGTTCGTTATTTACTTGCTTTATTTACCTTTCATGCGATATTTTACTTGCCTTATTTTCGTTTAGTTCGATATTTTACTTATTCCATTTGCATTTCATTCGATTTTCTTTACTTGCTTTTTGGGATAGATTTATTTGCTTTCTTTTGTTTTAGTTTAATTCGCAAGAAAAACATTCAACCTTTAAAACCAATTTAGTTTAGACATAAAGTTAAAAACCGTAGAAGAATACCAGGCACACAAATCTCTGTGGATTCGATCCCTAAATACTACAACTGATTAGTTGTGCACTTGCGGCTTTCATTTGTTTTGTTAAGGGTAAAACTTGTTCCCTCACGTAGTTGACACGAGCACGCATCACCTGCCTAGAAATATGTGTCCTGCGTCCATGGGCAACACATCACACTGTATCTCGTCTTCATATCCTCCAATAGTAATAGGGACCATGACACGGCTGTTGACCTTTAATTCCCCATCATTATTCAACCAGTTGAGCTTATAGGGTCGGGGGTGCTTCTCGGTGGCTAGTATGAGCTTTTGAACCATCTCTTGACTGGCTACGTTGGTGCGGCTACCGCCATCTATGATGAGACTACAAACTTCTCCTTGTACAAGGCACCGGCTATGAAACAAATTCTCTCTCTGCTCCTCTTCCATAGCTTTGGCTTGCACGCTTAGAGACCTTCTTGATACAAGTAAGGAGCCTTGAGCAGGAAGCTCTTCATGTTCAGAATGAGATTCGGCTTCAGACTCAGCTGTTGATTCCCATTCGCTATCGTCCTTGAGTATCATGATCTTCTTATTCGAACACTTGTTTCCGTAATGCCCACTTCCAAGACACTTGAAACACTTAATGTCTCTGGTTCTTGTTGACCCCATAGCTTTGTTTCGGTTATCTGATACCGAAGTGAATGACTTAGGTTCCTCTTTAGAGACACCAGCTGGCTTCTCTTCTTTTGATACTGAACTCGACTTCTCCTCTCTAGAATATCTCGGTTTAGTAGGCATTCCTCCAGCTCCATAAACGGTTTTGGTGTTTCTCCTCTTGAGCTGTTGTTCTATGAGGATGGCCTTGTGCAACATATCTTCTAATTCCTCATATTGCTGCATCTCAAGCTTGTCTTGAATCTCTCTGTTCAATCCTCCTAAGAAACGAGACATAGTGGCTTCAGCATCTTCTCGAATATCAGCTCGTAGGATCAAGGTCTCCATGTCTTGATAGTAATCTTCAACAGATCGGTTGCCTTGTGTGAGCCGTCTAAGTCTTTGGTGCAATTCTCTATGGTAGTGACTTGGCACAAACCTTTTTCTCATGAGAGATTTCATCTCCTCCTAAGTATCAATCGGAAATTGCTGATTTCTTCTTCTAGTTGTAACAACCTGATCCCACCAACAAAGAGCATAATCGTAGAACTCGGTGGTGGCTATCTTCACTCGATTAATCCCGGCGAATTGTTGGCAATTAAACAACAATTCTATCTTCTTTTCCCACTCTAAGTAGGCATCAGGGTCGTTTTTGTCGTGAAAAGGAGGGATCCTGAGTTTAACTCCTCCAAAACCCTCTTGAACTCGATCTTCCTTGTGTCGCCTATGCCTTCTTCGGCTGTCTCTTGAGGAACTACTAAGAGGACCGTAATAATCTGTGGCCGCATCATCTCTGAGAGGTCTAGTCGGTTCCAAGACTTCCTCAGGTTCTTTTCCTAGATCTCTTCTCTTATCTTTGTTAGCCTTTGGTTTGGTCTGCTCTTGAATCTCCTGTCGAAACTCCTCGAGGCTCACGGTCACAAGCTTCTTAACTTCGGCTAACATTGCCTCCATGTATAGTTTGTTAACACCATTAGCACTGGACTCTTCTTGTTGATCACTCATTGTTCCTGAAACAAGGATAACACGAAATCACTAGCAACAATTCTCTGATCGTTTTACAAAACAAAAGTGACTATTCGTGTTCTACAAGAAATCATGATCGATAGATTGAATTAGAAAAGTCAGATTTGCAAAACACGGATCCGAGCCTAGAAGTTAAAAGGCCACTTAGATCTATCCGATTTGATAGCAACTAAATCTCCGATATTTGATCTCGCCTAATAAATCGACACTCACTATACTGGATCAAAGGGGATAGCCTTGCACACAAACGAATTGTATCAAGGTTTGTGGGTTTAGATAAGACTCCAAGGGTTGCGGAAGACCCTTGATGAATGGTTTCCGAATCAACTAAGGATATTACACACCAAAGATGAATCAAAAGGACTTGAAGGATATTACACACCAACAAGAGGGTTTGATCTTACTTAGAAAAGATTTGATTAAAAGATAAGATAGTCTCAAAAGAGAGTTTACAGGCGAATATAAAGAGAAACACATATGAGTCCACAAAGCATTAAAGTGTCTAGGAACTAGTTCTTTGAAAGCTGGCCAAGTTTGAATTCAAACTCTTCTTCACACGCTCCTCTTCTTCTTCTTTGGACTCGGCTGATGGGCTTAGATGTGAGGTGATCGAAACTATGCCTCATTAAAAACCTATCTCAAGAAAACCCATTGGGACAAAACTTGAGATAGGGAAAAAGAGTACATAGTTGGATCACAAGCCCATTAGCCTTCTCGGACTTGGATCACAACTAGTGTAGTTGTGCCCATCTCTTTTCCCTTCTGTTCCACAAGCGTTCCATGCTTAAGTATTTCCCCAACAGCTTCCTTGAGCCTCTTAGCCTTTGCTCGGGTCATGGGACCTTTTGTAATGAGCAAAGGGTCTTCTTGTTCCATTTCCTGATCCTTGTCTTTGCTCCTCAGCTCCTTAGCTCCTTGCGGTTCTCCTTCTGGTTCCAACTCGTTATTGATGCTATCCAAGATCATATCATCCCCCTCTTCTTGAAAAGGATTTGTCCTCAAATCTGGATCATCTGCAAAATAAGGAATCAAGTCAGCAATATTGAAAGAAGAACTTATCTTGTACTTACCTTGTAGATGAAGTTGATAAGCGTTATCATTGATCTTTCTAACTATCTCAAAGGGTCCATCAACTCTCGGCATCAACTTAGACTTCCTTTCTGTTGGAAATATTTCCTTCCTTAGGTGCACCCAAACGAGATCTCCCTCCTCAAAGGTAAGCTTGCATCGGCTTTTGTTAGCGTGCTTGACATATTGCTTTGTTTTCTCTTCTATGTTAGCTCTGTCCTTCTCGTGGATCTGTTTAACAAGCTCTGCTCTTTTCTTTCCATCTAGGCTAGTTCTTTCACTCAAGGAAGAGAGGTTAGATCCAAAGGTGACAAAGGGTTAAAGCCATAAACAATTTCAAAAGGCAAAAATTTAGTTGCCGAATGCACTGAATGGTTATATGAGAATTCTACATGAGGCAAACAGTCTTCCCATGCCTTAAGATTCTTTTTAATCAATGCTCGCAACAATGTAGACAATGTTCTATTCACTACTTCAGTTTGTCCATCAGTCTGTGGGTGACAAGTAGTGGAAAACAAGAGCTTTGTACCTAGCTTAGACCATAAAGTTTTCCAAAAGTAGTTTAAGAACTTGGTATCTCGATCAGATACTATGGTCCTAGGCATGCCATGTATTCGAACAATGTCCCTAAAGAACAGATTAGCTATATGCGATGCATCATCAGTCTTGTTACATGCAATAAAATGCGCCATCTTAGAGAACCTATTACAACAAAGATCGAATCCTTTCCGGTCCTAGTTCTAGGCAATCCAAGCACGAAATCCATTGATATATCAGTCCAAAGGTTATAAGGAATAGGTAAAGGTGTATACAAACCGTTGGACTGAACCGTTCCAACTCGTTATTGATGCTATCCAAGATCATATCACAATGGATCCTATAAATCGAAATCCCTTCTATGAGGGAAGTTTTTACAACACTCCTCAAGCCACTAGACTCAGAGAGAAGCAATACCTACGCGATCTCTACGAAGAAGTTCAAACCGAAAACTACAGAACGTTCCTTAACGAGCCTTACGTGCCTCCAATGGTAAACCCTAGACATCCTGTTCATCGCCTACCTCACCAGGTTCTCCAGCACGATGAGAACGTCCAGCTCAGTAACCCATTGAGTCAGCTCGAAGGCGTAATCAAGCAGTTCATAGAAGCTCAAGCAACCGCTACAGTCGCTCTAAACGAAAGGATTGACGGGATATCAAAATTTTTCAATGAGAAGATCGATAACCTAGCTTCACAAGTCAAATCAATAGAAGAACGAGCAACCAAGGACGCAGCTATGATCGCTAATAGGTTCAACAGCATGGAGGAAGAGCAAACGAAGCACACCTACGAGCTTCGCAACACTAAAAACAAAGCCATGGACCTGGATTTCAAACTTGATGATGTGGACAAAGCCCTCAACAAAGCTAAGAACGAGTCCTATGACTTCACAGTCGAAGTTTCAGAGAAAGTTTACAAAGTCATTGACAAAACCGAAGAGCTTGACACAACCATGGACAAAGTAGTCTATGCTCTTGATGAAGTTGAAGAAAAGGTTGAGGAGATCATACAAGGACTTGGAGAGCAGATTCCAGCAACCAAAACTAAAGACTCAAGTCCAGAGAGGAAGTACATCAAGCCAGAAGACCCAGGAGATCATCCAGGAAGCAAAGGAGCAACCAACAGCAGACAATCAACTCGGAGACACTTTCCCCCGGTCGCGTCGCTTCCGACCGCGGCCAAGAAGCCTTCTCCCGCGGTCGTGCTCGGCCTACCTGATATGTTCATAATTTGCATAATTTAGGTTGTATATTTCATTCCAAATCATATTTTATTTCATGCATTTTAGGTCTTTAGGTGTTGTTTTAGGGCTTAAGGGTTGCATTAGGTCCCAATGAATCTTTGCATGGTTTGGAGTGTTTATCAGGTGTATTTGGAGCTATTTGGAGCTGAAAAGGTGAAACCAGGAAAAGAAATGGTGATCAGAGCTTTAAAAATGGTGAAAGCAACCTTTTGGATGTTCTCGGCGCTAGCCTGTACCGCGGGAAGCTTTTTCTCGGCTATTCTAATGTACCGCGAGTGGATTTCTCGGCCAAAAGCGTACTGGCTGTTCAAGTTTCTCGGCAAAAATTCCTGCGTGCAGATACATCTCCGAAATTGCCTTACCGGAAGATCTTTCCGAGCGATTCAGCCTCCGGAGTCTTCAGCAAAGAGCAAGATAATGGAGTCTAGATCTCAGAACAGTTGGAATCGATGAGTTTGGAGCACCAAGATGAAATATACGGCCACCGGAAGACAGACCTCTCTCGCATCTGTTCCGGAGCAATCCCATACGTCTGGAAAGATTGCCTGTCCGGGAAGTCTTAACGTCCGACTCAGATTACAGAGTCTTCAGAAAAGTTGGAGATGATCAGGTCACGGATCCAGAACAGGTGGAATAATTTGATTTAGAGTCGTGAGCAGAGAGTTAAGCTCACCGGAAGGCACACCTGTCTCGCTACAGTTTCAACACCGGTTCGATGAATCATAGAGATTGTGTGGGACGATGCCTTTCCATTATGATTCAGTTGCCGGGGTTTTCATCAAGATTTTAGATCTTTAAGTGCTCTTTCCAGAACGTCTAGGATCATCCATTTTGGAGCTATTTGCTGAAAGATACAGTCTCCAGAGTGAACACTGGTCCAAGAGCTTCTTGTTGATCGTTTCAATGCATTGCAGAGATGAGCCGTCCGGGGAAATTTTCAATCCCCGAGCATCAAAGGTTTCTTCAGAAAATTTTGAGCTTTATGAGTCATATTTCATGTGGATTTGGTTTGGTAGCATTTGGAGCTGTGAACTGTGAGTTCCGGAAGACGAGAGACAGACATATCAGCCAGACGTCTAAGAGTGGATAAGGTGCTAAATGTCATGATTTGACATGGTGATAATGCCACGGCCTGAGCTTGTCCGTGGAATAATATGACAACTCTCGGGATTTGACACGCTTACCATGCCATGTCCATGCACTTAGCTGTGGCAACCTCAATAGTTTGCTAAAAGAGACAAAAGAGCATGACACAGCCTTAATGCCACGGTCTAACCTGACCACGGCAATGTTTTCCCAACCTTCGGCGATTGACACTGTGAGAATGCCACGGTCTACATCAGACCATGGAAAGGTACTACTGATAAAGCCAACTTTTGGGATTTGACATGGTCTTGAGGCACGGCTTTGAACCTGACCACGGCAAGCAATGAAGATCTTTGACACGCCCATAATACCACAGCTAAACATCAGGCCGTGGCAACCTTGCCACACCCAACATGACACGGTCCAGATCAAGACCGTGGCAATCCAAAAAGTTCATCACCCGAACCCAGAAAAGAAGAGACACGACCACTAGACATGGTGTAAATCAAGCCATGGCAATCTTGATCATGAAGAATCTGTCCAAGAACTTTGACACTGTCAGTTTGCCAAGGTCTGGCCAAGCATCATCTGACCGTGGCAAACCACACCACTATCCATCAAAGCCGGGTCAGGATCCAGTTTATCCTGGGCTGACCTGGTCCATTAGCACTTAGTATATATAGCTTTTTGGAGAAAACCCTAAAAATCTTATCTTCTACTTAGTTTTCTCTCTAGTTTTCTTTCCTTTTTAGTGTAAAAACGTTTTTGATTAAGAGATATCTGAAGGATTACATCATTCTAAAGCTGTTTCTTATCAATTACTCATCTCATCTAAACTCCTAATCATGATCAACATCACCTCTTGCAAAGGAAATGGTGTGTTCATCATGATTAGTGAGTAGTCACTTTTTAAACTTCTAGGTGTGTAGAATAGGGTGCTTAGATGTTTGATTTGTGATGTTTAGGGTCTAGATTCTCATTTCATTTTCTTAGTTAGCTGCTCTTAATGCTAGATATTTGCACATCACTCTGATTTAGAGCTT